GAGAGAGAGAGGGAGAGAGAGAGAGAGAGAGAGAGAGAAGAGAGAGAGAGAGAGAGAGAGCGCTCACAATGGACAGTTATTGAAAAAATAGATCAAAAACCTATGACATCACTTGAGGCAATGTACCAGACCACTTGTTAAAAGAATATATAATCTCACATCAGTGAAGATTTAAAGTCCTTGACTAAAACAGCTGACCATATTTTAGTTCCTGCTGTCCACTCTACATGCCTGATGAATTTCATGAGATGTGGTATATTCAGTTGTGATATTGTACATGCATTTTTCCAATAAATTTGCATGCTTATAGTGCCTTTGCACACATAGCTGGCACTGGCTTAAATACTGCACTGACCCGTATGTAAGCCCAATTACAACTCCAATTAAAATTAATATTTTAGATCACATATGGTAACTTTTAAATATTTATGTCCAAGTCAGTTTAATTAGTGGATCCATCCAGTAAATGCAACTTTTTTAGAGTTGCTCCAGTCAAAAGGGAACTTTTGTTTCACAGATCCACATCTCTAACCCTTTTGGTGTGAATACATAATGACATTTGGTGTGAATACATAATGACATTTAATTGTTTTAGTCCTGGAGAGTAAGAGGAAAAGAGCCCAGGTTTTCTGATGTAATTACCAGAATATATTACATAGTCAATTATGGTGAAGATTGGACCCACAGTAAAAGAGCTTGGCCCGTTTCTCTGCTTTATCATCTACTTGTTGATTGCAGAAGTTAATTTGGGCTTTTCTGTTAAACAAATTTTGGGAAAAAGATGAGCCCACAGGATACAGAAAGTGGATGGCGCTTTGTCTGTGATGGGAAATGGGGATAGTCTTTCATATAATTCAAAAAGGCAGAAAAACCAATGCGGTATAGAATTTGAGTACACTAACGCCCAATTCAGATCGGATTAACGTTTCAGGGCCAAAGACAAAAAGAAAAAAAAGACTAAAGCTTCCCCAGGGGGGTGCTGGAGAGTTGAAGGGGAGGCAAAAATACTGCGTGAGGTGAATTTGAGTCAAAAATCAAACACATACTGATATCATTCAGTGTGACTTAAACTCCCTGAGGATATAATCATCTCTGATGTCCATAAATCTGCTAAGAAATTTCACTCACACTTCAGAAGTTGGTTTTAAGTCATCCCATTTTTAAGTTTTCTTCATTATTAAAGTAATCCAGTGTAGTTGTCTGTACATTCGTGGGCACACTGCAAACAGGAACTGCTCATAGCTGATTCGGCATCACTTTGCCATAATGTAAACACAGGCTAAAAACAAGGCTCAAGAGAGAACAGCGGTACATATCTGTAGCTGACGTTACAATCACCCAGAGTGATGAGCTTTTACAGCTCTCCTGATCGCTTCTATTGGTTCCCAAACCAGGGCTGTATGTTGCAACTTGTCTCCAACTATCAGATTAGTGAAGACTTTTTTGACTTTCCTTCATTTCCATCCAGCTGATAAAACAGTAGCACGACAAGTAGCTCTTCACAGGGAACAAACTCAGAAATCCACCTTAAAATAATGAGATGTTTGTAAAAAACAAAACAGTTCTAACAATCATATCACTGTAAGTAATTGTGCCTGTAATTATCACTGGGGAGGGGCTGAAACATTACCCACATACACGCTCTGGACAGGATTAAAACCAGCGACCAGAGCAGGTGATGTTAAAATCAACCCCACCTCCCTCTAAAGTCTGGGTGGAGCTTTAGAAACATCTGACCTGGCTTCATCCATCGTTCGAAAAGAATGATGATGTTAAGGGTTTTCAGAAGTTATTGACCAAAACATAACCACGCTGGTGATTGAAAGACGCCACAAGAACCCACAAAACTGTCACAGACACCTGAGCGGGCTGTCAGTAGATGATGTTGTTATAGTTTCTCAACAGTTTTTCATCTGCACAGAAACATTTTTCATCCTTTTTGTTGACTCCGAGACTGGCTGATGCAATCAGCAGAAAGACGTGTGTGTTGGTGTGTGTGTTAGTGTGTGTAGGGAGGGCATTAATGGCGTGTGTTCCATGCAAAAAGATGATTCAATCTAATCTCTTGCCCTGAGACTCAGAGTAAATGGGGCCTGTCTCTCCTCTGGCTAATCACTCTGACTGGAGTTCATGACAGCCTGAAGTACCAACTGCAACGCGGCGTTGATTAAATCCCATCCACCGGCCCCGAATTACTTACGATAATTACCAAACTCATTTTCATTTTCATCTCCAGCTATCATTTGATTCCATTATAGGTGAAACACACCTTTAACGGCAATTGTTTGAGCTGGCTATTTGATGAGACAAGAGCGACTGAACCTTTCTATTGGCTGTGAAAGCACTGACAAACACCCAAACAGACTCCGCGGGGATCCACTCTTATGGCTCATACTGAACCGTTGTTTTTCCCTACACTCGTGCAATTGTTTCGTAGAGGAGGTGGCACCTGGTGTTCATGCTAGCAGCTGAGGAGGAGAGATTTTCTTTTCCTACCAATCCTCCATTCACACAGCAGTGGGAATCCTCTCCCCAAATGTGTCCTGCTACAATGTCATTTTTCTACCATCTGCTCCCACCAGGATGCATTTTATAGCAGGTCTGGAGTTGATTTAGGTTGTGTAGCATCACACAGTGATCAGGTTTACAGTAACAGCAAGACAGAGGAACAGAAGAGTATTTTCATCCCTTTAGAAGAAACATTAATATGGTTATTATGGATACAAATGTGTCTATATTGCAACTTTTTATCATGCTTACATGGTTGATTTATTTCAGGAGCGATATCAGTAAAATGAAATATGGGTTAAGGTGCTTTACACTATCAAATCTGGTAAAGTCACTTCAAATCTCTCATTCTTCATAATTCACATGTTCTAAAGCCAAATGACTGCACTGATGATATGTCATTATCTCCAATATGTTCCACACTTTCTCTCAGTGTGCGAACAAATGTCACTGAAACAGCCTAATGAAGCAATAACTGAGTGGGATTTCAATATTAAGACACCTACAGAGCCATAGTGTGACATTCTCTCTCTATAATTTCTAAACTTCTAAATTTAAAGTGCAAATGATCTTGCCTGCTTTCGGCTGTTTTGGCACACAGTGGCTCTTTGTCTGGAGCAAGATTATCATCATACAGTCTTTGTCTTCAGTAAAACTTTTCTTCCACTTTGGTCAGTTGGTAGATGGCTAACGTGGAGGTGTGCTGATGAGGTTGCCACACAATCGCATGGTCATTGATCCTGTAGGGCTTACTAACACAAATCCGCCCTCTGGCTGCAAGTTGGAATACCAAGGCATTGAGTACATGTTGTGGTTGTTTGTAGCTGGTACAGCCGTAAGGTTAAGAGTTAAACATATACTCCAGTGAAGGAGTGGGCTACAGAAGTCTGGTGAGCTCGCTGCTCTCTAATGCCATACCTCCAGATTTGTTTCAGAACTTGTAGTCTTCAGCCCCAACTGTTGCTGACTCAAGTGACATCACTTAAGGCGATTAATTCCATTTTGTGAAGCTCCCTCTGGGGGAAAAAGGCTTCAAAAATTTTTTTAAAAAATTTTTTTTAATTCCCCAAAAACAAAAAAAAAATTGGGGGTTTTTCTTCAGTCCCCGTAATAAACTGGTACCATTTGATTTCTTTGCTAATGTTCCATTAAAAGGTGAGCCAACCCCAGTTTAGCTTAGGTTACAGTTAGCTAGTTGGCTGCCTTGCCTTGAAATGCTCTCGGCTAATAGAGAGCAATTGTTAGTTATACACCTTTGCTTTGAACATCATTAATTGCTGGCTAAAATCAACATTGTATGTCAAGCTCCTTTAGCTAGGGTTTTTGCTGAAAACCAATCCCAAAACCTTTCCATAGAAATACGTCCACAGGCTGTTACAGGCAACCGAGAAAGTCTGGGAAGGTCTTATTTTAGGGCTGCACAATTAATTGAAATATTATCAAAATTGTAATATGCCCAAACAATATCACACCATCATGATTTTAATATTTTTTTAAATTAAATTATTCAAAAATGATCATTTGCACACTAATCGTGAATCATATCAGTATCTGCCAAAATAATCGCAATAAACATTTAGCATATTGTGCAGCCCTAAACCCGAGTGATGAATAAATAAAGTAATATGTAAGTGCCTCAGAATGTATATGGCACCTTTAGTACTGCGCACCAGAGAGCACTGTCTATGTTATGGTTTTAGCCCTGCAAATACATCACATTAAATTGAGGAAGCTTTCAAAATATTGCTTCATTAGGACTTCATATCTCATTTGGTGGACAGCTTTCAAAAGCCTGAATATAATTCTTTGCTGGCTGTACTTTACAGAGCTGCAGAAACATATGGATTAGCTATTCACTTTTCATGACTGATTTGCATATTGTGTCACACTGCTGTGTATATCAAATCCATCGAAATCTCCATTTTCATTTGGCTGCAGGCCTTAAAAATGAGGCTTTTACATAATGCAGGTTCAAAGAGGAGTGTAGAGAAAGTTAACTGCTGCAATGCATGGTGAATAAAAATGACAGCCACAGCTTACAGATAAACAACATTTCACTTTGTGATTGGTATTGAAAGTCACACTGAAATGCTAACATAATAACACAAATAAAAACACAACTTAGGCAACAATGAATGCATAAATATGGGAACTATTTGACAGTAAGAGGGACACAAAAAGGCAAAAAGAGACACTGAAGGTGGCACAGAAGGAACTTATTTCACCTCCAACTGTGTCCCTGAGAGGGTGAGAAAATAGAGAGACAGAGACATCAGTGGATTTTTCCATGGCATCCAAAGGGGCAGCAGATGATGACACATTGGTGACACACTGAGATGTTAACGAAAACAGAGGCACATACTGTCCCATAGTCAGACACACACACACACACACACACACACACACACACACACACACACACACACACACACACACACACACACACACACACACACACACACAGGCACATACAGGCACACAGAGACACTCACCAGGCCTGAGGTTTCCTCTTGAGCAGGCCCTGTCTCCTCCACTGAGAGTGGGGGCTGAGATGGTAGGTCAGCTGACGACAAACCTTCTCCATGGCCCCGAGAGAGTCGCCCTCCTGTTGGAGACACACAGACCATCAGCTCAATTACAGAGGGCTGTCAGGTGATGAGAAAAACCTTCTGGTGGCCACACTGCAGGGATTCAGCTCTACAGTGTCAGTGGGGAGAACAGCTGGTTGTGTATCTAAACGTTCATCAGAATAACATAGATATGATTAACCAAAGTATGTTTTTATAAAGATCTGATTAGCACACTAGCAAGTCTAGATGGGTCATGTTTTCACGCTATACACAGATTTTGACTTTGGTTTAAGTGTCTAGTAAGTTCTGAAAGATGATCATATAAGTAAAGAGCTGCTGGAGGAGCCTGCTGGAGGATCTGGGAGCAGCTGGAAGTGTTGACATTTTTAAACGAAAACTCAGAGCCTACCTCTTCAGCCTGGCTTTTAACTAAGGAATGGTTTTTAAACATTATTTACCCCTTTTCACTCAATAATTGTATTTTTCTTTTTCTATTTTCTGTTACTTTATTTGAACTATTTCTTTATAATACATATGTATATATAAATATTTATCGCTCTTACTGATGTTGTTTGTTATTTCTGCCTGCTTTCAGCATAGCTTATATTAAATACTATTGTTGTACCTGTAGAATACAATAAATACAACATCATTGTATTAAATAAAAATAATAATAATAATAATAATAAAAATTCATATTGTGATATATATATATATAATATATAATATTGTGATATGATTTACGATTAGTGGGATGATCATTTTTGCACCCCATTTTTTTATTTTCACCAATTTGATCTTTATCAAAAAAATTAAAGTCTGTTGCGATTTGGATATTGCACTTGGCTATAGTGCCATTTCAATTATATTTTGATTAATTGTGCAGCCCTATGTTTAACAAATCTAGAGTTTGTTTTATTGATCTATTGTGTTTAAGATTTATAGCATAAAGCGAATTTACAACACTTATTAATGAAACAGGAAGACCTTTCTGCGGATTTGCATATTAAATAAAAAAACTCAATTCCAAATGGACATATGTATATTGATGATTGTCTGTGATATTTCATGCATCAGTCATCCCTTATTAAGATACTTTTATAATCATTAAGACTATTCTGTAGAAGAGCAACAAGTAATCATCTTCCCAGTGTGGTCGTAATGCGGGTGGTACAATAAAATCCTTTAAAGGACCTCTGTTACCTGTCAATCGTTCAGACAATCCAACATAAATAAGTGACAGGTATGTGTTTTGCATACCAGTTGTGTTATGTAACAGGTATAAGGCTTTGGCGAGGGAAAGGGAGAGGAAACGTCATGTTGGACACGACATTATCACCGAATATGACAGAGCAGTGAAGTGTTACAGCAGCAGACAAGAGAAAGACACAAGGATATAATTAAAGGATTTGAGCATCACTGGAGCAAATAAGTGACAAACACGCCTTCTGTCAATGTCGACTTTCTGATATGACAGGACACACACACACACGTACAATGTGAGGCTGGGGAATTGAACGCTACATGGTGCGTTGATTGGCCATGTCCATAATCGCTCCCTATTCGCAAACCTAGTGTGCTACACCACACTCACTTTGTGCTTTCAACTTGGGTGTCTGAACCGCACTTTAATGCGTAATGTCATGTAGTGCACGTAAACATTCATACACTGACAGGGAAAATGGCATGTGCAAAGCCTATACACCACTCTCACACAATGACATGATTTGCCTCGGCACCTCAGGCGACTGATATGGAAATTTCCTATATGTAAAACTACCTGTGTTGTTGTGAAGTGAAATAACAATAGATTAGATATGTCCGACATGTCAAATTCCCACTCCGTATAAAGAGTTTTCATCGTATAGGGAGCAGTAATGAGGAAGCAATTTCAGACAACAGAGTTACGACACACCGCTTCATCTCTACCCATCTGCCTCAATGTCACCACAACCCTCCACTGTACCATAACTGGATGTGTGTGTGTATGTGTGAAGCTTCCAGCCATATTGAAATGTATTTATTCAGGTGGTGAGTCAGGCTTGCAGGTCCCCATCATCCTGTCTAAAACAGATGGTGAGGGGAAGAAGTGATGTCAACAAAGACATTCAGTGGTCCCTAAACTGTGAGGTACTGCACTGTGCTGTTAAGGTCAGTGTGTGTGTGTGTGTGTGTGTGTTGTTTGGGCTTGCTTGGTAAAATAGTGAAGGGAGGGCAGCAGTTGGATGGTAAAGTAGAAAAACAATATTCTAGCAGACAGCGTTTGTGAAAGTGAATGAATTGATACCCAGAGGGAAGGAGACAGTTCTTCCACTTCCTTGGCTGCCAAATAAATTTCTTATTTTTCATGTGAACCTCAGATGACTGATATGTAAATTACCGCCATGTGAAATGACATGAAATAGTGTTGTTGCCACACAAACTTATGGAGTCACTCCAGGATCTCGCAGGCTTTTTTGGGATAGTTGCATTGTTGCGGCCTAAAATGCCTGATCTTTTCTTAATAACTGCAATGCATGTTAGTATGTTTTTAGCAATTTTACGCAATGAAATTGTAGGAGAAAGTGAAAATTTATATATATATATATATATATTTCTATAGCAGTCCCCAAGCAAAATGTCGAGTCAATGCGTCACCAAACTATATATATATATAAATCTTTTACTTAAAGCTGCACTAGTCAATATTTGTGTGATAACAATAACTATATTTACTATGTGTAATGTGACAGTGATCAGTTATAGAGACGAACCAACAAAGAATTGTCACACAGCTCTGCTGTTTTCCTCAGTACTACAGAGCATTTTAGCGTCTTTCAGCTCATTATTTTGGGTTGACAGGCCCCAACTGTTTTGGTTCTCATTTGCTTTTCATTTTGTTTAGTTGTTTACAGCAAAAAGGCTCTAAAAGCCCACTGTACACTATCTACACAGCACCAAGCAACCAGACAGACAATGTTAGCAACTAGCTGGTGAACATCGTGGAGCATTTAGCAGCTAAAGAGCCAAACATTTCCTTCAGGAGTAAAAAGAGAGTGAATATTAGACTTTCACCAGGTGGCTAAAAGCACAACTTCAAATGAATGCTAGTGCTGCACTCGGTCTGCTGGATGTGAACTGGGCGACCGCTATCTTTATATGGTTGTGACACGGTGATGGCAGAGTACGTTAACTTGTTTTAAGTTTTTCTGCTGACCAGCTAACAAGGCTACATACCAACACTATCGGATTACACAAGCAAAACACAAGACAGTAAACTTCATGTCTCTTAATCTTAAAGTTACTTATTATAACATTATCTTACAGCATAACACATCTTTCTCTCCACACATCATCCATAATTTAGCAGCCAATCCGACTGACATCTCTGGAACACCTCGAATAGTTAGAGTTGCTCGGTGTCTGTTTCTTGACACATTTGACGTATTTCCTCTTTAGAAGCTGATAATATGTCAGTTTTGTGTTTCACCGCCAAAAATATCAAATCAGGTTTAACATGGCAGTCTGGATGCATTTATTCATTTGCTCTATTCTCATTTCCATTTTCCTCTGTTGGATCATCAGATTGTTTGCGTTTCCCATTTCCTTTGGGTTGTTAGAGCAGGAATAGCCCTCATAAATAAGGACCCTTCCCATACCCTCCCACTATTGACCAGTTGCACCCTACACACAGATTGCCATCCATTACACTGCCTCCATTCTCTGTACTTTACAGAAAGTATTTATTTATTATATTTACATTTAACACAACCTTGCTTCCCCTGTAAAGTCAGTTGCACATATGTGCTTTTATGTTAATGTGTATATTTTTAAACATATGATGTTCATACATATTATTTTTTTTATTATTTTTTTTTCATCCAGTTACCTAATTTGTCCTGACACCTGCAATAAAACTGTATGTATATGTATGTACTTGGGGAATTTATTTTCTCATTCTGATGTCCTGTAATCCCATAATATCTCCCTGCTGTTGTTTCACAGTTCCAGTTTTCTTTTAAGGGGCGAGAAAGCACAGTCACTCCTGGTCTGATGAAAACCTTTTAAAGGGCATTAAATAAACTCAGATATTCATGGATGTCAAGCTAAAAATACAATGTCCTTGTTGCAGAAATATCGACATTTTGGAGATGGAAGGTTTTCATTAGACGGATATTATATTCCTTTACATCAGGGCTGCCCAAAGTGGGGCCTGCGGGCCAGAGTTGAACCGCCATATGATTTGATTTGGCCAGATGTTTATAGTGAAAAAAAAATAATAAATAAATAAATATAAATATATATATAATATAAAATCACTGTTTTATTTTTTGTGTGGTTAAAATTATCTTTAAATACGTACAATTCCTAATTATATTTCTATAATAGTAATAGTGGGCAGACTGACACAGGAAATTAGTCAATTAAGGGAACTTTGGATTTTGGCATTTTGCCTAATAACAATACAATTCGTTATGTTATAATGCTACAATATGTTTGCTTTTGGCCCATTACCCACCACTGTAGTTTCTCTACATATATGATCATATAACCAGACACATTTTAATTGTCAGTGTCTAACCAATAAGTGATATTTTAACTTTATTTTAAATTTTTTAGACAAACACTTCAGATGGCTGGGGTTCTTGTCGGTCTGTGTAGTCTCAGTTGAGACGTATTGATGTTGTGTTTTGTACCGACACTCGTGGTAATGTACAGTAAGAGAGGCCTCATCATGTCAATAAAGCTGCATGAATTGAATTGTGCTGAAGTCAATGAGAGAGAGCTCGGGTCAATGAGAACAACAGCTGCAGCAGCTGGTTGGAGCCTCACTGTGGCCTTTTCTACATTTCACTGCATCCAGCTCTCACTCTCTCTCATCCTCTTCGTTTCGTTCCCTCTTTCTCTCTCTCAGCATGTCCTCTCTCCTTCTTCCTGTTGTCCTGCCTCCCTCTCTCTTGCTCGTTACATTATTGATACAGAACACATCTATGAATCTTCCCAGTCTCCAGAGAACTGATGACCTCTCCTCTCTCTCTCTGTCTCCATCCCTCTC